GCCTGCCTTTTTTTTTTTTTTGGAATTGGAGTCTTGCATTGTCGCCACAGGCTGGAGTGCAGTGGGTGCAATCTTGGCTCACTGCAACGTCCGCCTCCCGGGTTCAAGCAATTCTCCTCCCTCAGCCTTCTAGTAGCTGAGATTACAGGTGTGGCACCACCATGCCCAGTTAATTTTTGTATTCTTAGTGGGACAAGGTTTCACATAGTGGCCAGGCTGGTCTTAAACTCTGACCTCAGGTGATCTGCCTGCCTTGGCCTCCCCAGAGTGCTGAGATTGAATTTTATTGAAAGCCATTTTCTGCATTTATTGAGGTAATCATGTGTTTTTCATCTTTAGTTCTGTTTACTATGATGAATTACATTTGATTTTGCATCCTGTTAAACCCAACTTTGCCATCCCAGGATGAAGCCTACTTGATTGTAGTGGATTAGCTTTTTGGTATGCTCTGTATCTCAGTTTGCACTTATTTGGTTGAGAATTTTTGCATCAATGTCAGCAAGGAAATTGGCCTGATATGTGTGTGTTGTGGTGTGTGTGGTGGGTGTGTGTGTCTCTGACAGGTTTCGTATTAAGGTATGCTGGCTTCATAGAACGAGTGGGGGAGGATCCCCCCCCACCCACACCAGTTCTTTGGAATAGTTTCTGTAGCAATGGTATGGCTCTTCTTTTACATCTGGTAGAATTTGGCTGTGAATTCATCAGGTAACTGGCTATTTTTTTTTTTTTTTTGGTTGGTTGATAGGCTATTTATTCTATTTTGGAGCTCATTATTGGTCTGTTCAGGAAACCAATTTCTTCCTGGCTCAGTCTTGGGAGAGTGTATATGTCCAAGAATTTGTCCATCTCTTCTAGGTTTTCTAGTTTGTGTGTGGAGAGGTGTCCATAGTAGTTTCTGATGGTTGTTTTTATTTCTGTGGGGTCAGTAACATCCCTTTCATCATTTCTAATTGTCTTAATTTTTTTATTAGTCTAGTTAGTGGCCTATCTACTTTAATTTTTTCAAAAACAGCTCCTAGATTTGATCTTTTAAATGGTTTCTTTGTCTCTGAATTTCTTTCAGTTCAGCACTGATTTTTGTTATTTCTTGTTTTCTGCTGGCTTTGGGGTTGATTTATCCTTGCTTCTCTAATTCTTTCCATTTAAATTTATGTTGTTAATTTGAGATCTTTCTAACTTTCTGGTGTGGGCATTTAGTGCTATGAATTTCCCTCTCCACACTTCCTTAGCCGTGTCCCAGAGATTCTGGTATGTTGTATCCTTATTTTCATGGTATTCAAAGAACTTCTTGATTTCTGCCTTAATTTCATAATTTACCCAAAAGTCATTCAGGAGCATGTTGTTTAATTTTCTTGTAATTGCATGGTTTTGAGCGATTTTCATAGCCTTGATTTCTATTTTTACTGTGCTGTGGTCTGAGAGAGTGTTTGGTATGATTTTGATTCTTTTTACATTTGCTGAGGATTGTTTTATGTTTAATTATGTAAAAAATTTTACAGTATGTGTCATGTGGTGATGAGAAGAGTGTACATTCTGTTACTTTCCAGTGGAGAGTTCTTTAAAGGTCTATCAGATCCATTGGTCCAATGCTGAGTTTAGGTTCTAAATATCTATTAATTTTCTGCCTCGATGATCTAATATTGTCAGTGGAATGTTAGACTCCCCCAGAATAATAGTGGAAGACTTTATGTCTCTTTGTATAGTAGGTCTCTAACAACTTGCTTTATGAATCTGGGTGCTCCTGTTTGGTGCATATATATTTAGGACAACTATGTCTCTTTGTAGACTTGAACACTTTACCATTATATACTTTGTCTTTCTTTGTTGGTTTGAAACTGTTTTGTCTGAAATAATTGTAACCCCTTCTTTTTGCTGTTTTCCATTTGCTTGGTATGTTTTCCTCCACCCCCTTTATTTAGAGCCTGTGAGTGTCATTACACATGAGATGAGTCTCTTCAAGACAGCATAACATTGGGTCTTGCTTTTTTATCCAGCTTGCCACTCTGTGTCTTTTAAATGGGGCATTTAAACCACTTACATTCAAGGCCAGTATTGATAAGTGTGGATTTGATCCTGTCTTTGTGCTGTTAATTGGTTATTATGGTGGCTTGTTTGCTTTACAGTGACACTGGTCTGTGTGTTTTTGCATTAACTAGTAGCAGTCTTTCCTTTCTATATTTAGTGTTATTTTCAAGATCTCTTGTAAGGCAGATCTGGTGGTAATGAATTCCCCCAATATTTGCTTATCTGAAAAGGATCTTATTTCTTCACTGAGGAAGCTTAGTTTGGCTGGATATGAAATTGTCGAAGATGATGTTTTTCTTTAAGAATGTTGAGTATAGGCCCCCATTCTCTTCTGGGTTGTAGGGTTTTAACTGAGAGTTGCACTGTCTGATGGGGTTCCCTTTGTAGGTGACCTGCCCTTTCTCTCTAGCTGCCTTTAACATTCTTTCATTCTGACCTTGGAAAATCTGACAATTATGTGTCTTGGGGATGATCTTCTTGGGTAGAATCTTGCAGGAGTTCTATTTCCTGAATTTGACTGCCTCTCTAGAAGGTTGGGGAAGTTTTCATAGATGATATCCTGAGATATGCTTTTCAACTTGTCTGCTTTCTCCCCATCCCTTATAGGGATGCCAGTGATTCATAGATTTGACCTCTTTACATAATCCCATACTTTGCAGAGGTTTTGTTTATTTCTTTTCTTTTTTATTTATTTTTGTGTGACTGCTTTGTTTCAGAGAACCAGTTTTCAAGTTCTGAGATTCATTCCCCAGCTTGGTTTATTCTGCTGTTAATACTTCTGATTGCATTGTGAAATTCTTGGATTGTGTCAGACTCATTAGGTTCTTTTTCATACTGGCTATTTCATCCTTTAGCTCCTGGAAAGAAGTCTATGGACTATACTCAATCTGCACTCCAGTTAAAGGAACACCTACACACAGAGATGAGAAAGAACCAATACAAGAATTTTGGTAACACAAATAGTTAGAGTGTCATATGTCCTCCCAATGACTGCATCAGTTCTCCAACAAGAGTTCTTAACCTTGTTGAAATGACAGAAATAGAATTCAGAATATGGATAAGAAGATCATTGAGATTCAGGAGGGAAGCAAACTCCAATCCAAGGAGAATAAGAATCAAAATAAAGCAATACAGGAGAGGCTTTCAGATGAACCAGGGGGCTCTGTCCAGGGAGGTGCCAAGTTGCTATGGGCTTGATAGCTCTGGTGGTGGGTGGCTGGAGTCCCAGGCCTGAAGGACCTGGAGATATGGGATAGGGGAACAGGCACCCATGTAGCAGTCTGGCCACCTTTCTGTAGGGCTGCTTCAGTATGCTTGGGGCCTGCTCCAACCCCTAGTCACCTCAGATTTTCCAGTACCTGGAAGGTATCACCAGTGAAGTCTGTGAAACAGCAAAATGGCAGCCTGGCCCTCTCTCTGGGAGCTTTGACCCAGAGAGGTATGGGCCTGCTGCTGGTCCAGAGGTACCTGTAGGAGGCAGCTGGAGACCCCAGTTGGGAGGTCCTGCCTGGTGAGGAGGAACAGGATCAGGGACCTGCTTGAAAAAGATGTCTGGCCACATTTTGGTAGAGCAGCTATGCTTTGCTGGGCATTTGCTTCAGCCCCTGGTTGCCTAGACACTCCAAAACCCGATGGCTGGAATGGCTAAGTCACCCAAACAGCAATGATAGTGGCCTGCCCCCTCCGTGAGCTCCATCCCTGGGAGGTTACTCATCTCTGTTGGCCAGAGAACACCTTTAGGGGAGAGGTGGCTGGAGGTGCCCCAGTTTGGAGATCCTGCCCAGTGAAAAGGAATGAGATTGGGGACCTGCTTAAAGTAGTAGCCTGGCCATGTTAGGTAGAGCAGTTGTGCTGTGTTGGGGGATCCCTTCTGTCCCTGGTCGGCCTGGATTCTGCAAAGCCTGAAGGCTGGAACAGCTAAGGTACCTGAACAGTAAAGATGGAGGCCTACCTGTCCCACTGGGAGCTCTTCCATAGGGAGGTACAATGCTGGTGCCAGTGGCTGGCCAGAATTCTAAGCCAGTGGGTCTTATCTTATGAGGTACCATAGATGGTGGGGGCCTGCAGGCTGTTGCTGCTCAGTCCCCTGGATTCAGCCTCTTTTCTATGGGTATGTACAGAGGTCTAACCTCCCACTTGGCTGGAGCTGCAGCTACCTTTGCTGGAAAGCCCAAGTATCTAAGGCTCCAGTGATTCCACGCATGTCTGAGTGGTTACTCTGCCAAGACTCCATGTAGCTCTGTCAGACTGAAGGCCCTGGTGGACTGGGTTCACAAGGAGCTCTCCTGTCCCAAGGGTTGCAAAGATCTGTCAAAGAAGCATGGATTCCTTGGGTGGTGGAGGGTCCGTGGCTCCGTGTTTCTCCCAGGTGGGCTCTTGTCCTGTCTTGGTTTTCTTTGTTCTCCATGAGTCAAATTGTTTCCTTGATTACTCCCTATGTGAATACTGGGATGTTTCAGTTGAAGGTGTTATATTTACTCACCCCTTCTGTTTCTCTCCATGAGAGCTACACCCACTAGCTCCTTCTAGGCAACCATATTGGCCACTTTCCTCCATTATTTTCATCTAGAATCCTCCATCTTTAAAAAATGAGTTTTCCCTCAACTGTGCATCGTTTTATTTTCAAACTGAGCCTATTTCTATCACTTAATATTTACACAGTTACAATTCATTTGACCTATGAGTCATTATATTTATCTCTTATGTGTATTTATACCTGTTCTAAAGCTTGGTTTTATGGTTCAATTAAATTAATGGGATATACTTTATAAATAATACTTAGGGAAGATGGTATAGTTAGGGGACCAGGATTCTAGGTCTAGGTCTACCCACTAACTAGCTGTGTGAACTTAGACAAATAATTTAATTTTATTTAATTCAGAAAAATGTATGAAAACCAAGTAGCTCAATCTCACTGTTCACATAACTACCTGTAAAGAAATACATGTACAGAATTTCTTTTTCTATCATTGCAGGAAATGAATAACATGAAGTGAAGTCTTCATCTCCATTCCCAACAGTTCCCATTCTACTTCCAGAAAGGTAAACATTGTTCATATGCTGTTATGAATTCATTTTGCTATGAATTCTTTAAAAATCAGCATACTAAAAGATGTTTGAGTATTTCCTAATAGATACAGATCCTACCATAAAACCGTATGCATATAATATTTTTAAAGAGAAATCATTGTTTTAGAGAACATTTAGGGAGTAAAGAATGCTTGTTAAAATTTATTTGAAATCCTTATCTATGACTAGAAGCATTGCTTTCTTCTACTGTCTACAGATAGTAAGTTCAAAGGCACATTTGGAGACAGGATAATGGGTTTTCTCAAATAACCTCCTTAAATAGGAGGTAGAGAGAGCACCTCTAGATTTGGTTTTTTAGAGCAATTTTTAATATTATGTTCAATTTATTAAGCCAAGTAAAATAAGCTGGTATGATTTTTATTTATCAAGGTAATTATTTTCCCTAAAGTTTAAAGAAAACTCTAAGGAACAAATAGGTGAAGGTGGAGCAAGTTTATTGAGGTATGGATACACCATACCACTAACTTCATGGTGCAGAAAGTTCTCTCAGAATGATATCAAGAGTTCTTTGAAAAGGCAATACAGTTTCCGAAAGCACCACAGGAAGACCTGGGTAGTGACAATAGTACCATCTCTTTAGTACCATCTCTTCTGGAAACCTGACTCTGAAATGAATTATGCTCAGGGCAAAAAGCATTCTTCTGCATTTGTAGATAGGCTAAAATGTACATCACAGCTGCTTGGGCTAATTTTATAGGGCTCGTGGAGGCTACTACATTTGCTATTCACAATGGCAAGATGAGCTCAATATCTGAACTAAACAAAGTTAAATTTACCAATATTTAGCAACTGTAGGATTTACATTCCCTTTTTAAGGGAGCTTAGAAAGTACACCCATAAAGAAATAGTCATGAGTCATTTCTTCAGTCAAACCAGCATCAGTACTCAAGTATGATTACTGTATTAGAAAAATCATCTTTAAACACAAAACTTCTGCTTGTGTATAGTAGTGATCACCAATAAAAAGGTTCTACAAAAGGCCCAGTGCACCCGGGTATTCATGTACATACAACAGCATATCATGATGGACACTAGAAGCCTTGCCCTACAGCCCGTTCTCTTAGGTCCCACCTCTGACCCTTACTTGCTGGGCTTATCTTGAACAAATCTTTAGCCTCTCTCTCCCTAAACTGCATCATCTAAAAAATAGAGATGACAATAGTACTTGGCTCACTGAGTTGTCATGAAAATTAAGTTAGTACATGTAAAACCCTTTTCTGGCACATGGTAAGTGCATGTAACACTGTTGTTTTGCTTATTCAATGGGTATATATCAAGGGAAAAGTTTAAATAAAAACGAAGTCAAAATAATTTATTCAAAAGCCATGCCACTGTTAAATTAATACAGTCAAAACTAGAAATAGAAAAAGAACATGCAAAATATTTTAAAATATTGTATAAAGGCTTATATTTGTAAGCTTAAAAACACTTCGTTTATGAATCAATTTGTGCATAAAAATTGTATACATGCAAACAGAGATTTGGGCCAGAATGGATATTGTTGAATTAATTTAAAAAATACATTTTACAGCTTTTCCAAAACTCTTTAATGAAAAGTCAGCAAGAAGATAATGAGAAAGGACCAAACAGATGTTGGTTTCTGATGAAATCTGCCAAACTTTTACAGCATCATTATGATAGCTTTCCGTTTAGGTCGCCACAGTTTAAAAGTGGGACATTTGGATCTAGAAGAGAGCAGTGATGATTAAAGAGTTGGAAACCCAGGCCTAAGAGGAAGGGACCATGGAAATGATGTTGGTTGGCCAAAAGAGGAGAAGGCTGCGGGTGCCTTAATTACAGTCTCAGTATATATAATACACCATATAAATGAACAGATGTTGTTCCGCAGTGAAAATAGAACAAGATGGGAGCACAGTGGCTCTGACTTGAGAACCATCTGTGTCTATAAAGTGTTGTTGAATGGCTAAACCTCTGTTCACTCAACCAATATCTATACATTTCCTCTATTTAGTGTACCATATTAAGTGCTAACAATTGATAATTCATATATAGACATATTGGGTGGAATATGCTCTATAATCGTATTGCAGAAGACTTGGTGACCTCTACACGTTAGAGCATGGGAAAGACAGGAAACTAGGTGGAGGCAGTGACACATTTTAGATTCCCACTTCTGTTTCACAAGGATGCATGAGTATCCTGAGAACACCACAGAATATAGCTAGGTGGGGGTCTGCTTGTTGATACCTCAACCAAAAGGACTGCCCTGGGGGCAAGTAGAGTGGATCTTCCAGCTCAAGGAATTATGCAGTGAGCAGGCTTTCCTTGCAGGCCCACCTAGCTCCTGAAGGGAGCCACCAATAACCAGTTTTGGATTACCCCAAAGAGACAATTACCACAAAGAGATAAGAAAGAGCACAGAAGCCCAAAAAGATATATATATATTTAAATGGTCTTTCCTGTAAATAACACTTCACTTCTGATACCAAATGTGTAGGGTTTATTTCCCATACCAGCCAGTTCTTTAGTTCCTAGCAGACACCAACTGGGTGTCCTAAAATGCAATTAAATTCTAACACTATCTAACAGGAATTAGTTCCCACAAGATTGTCCACACTTCACATGCCAATAGCAAGTCCCAGCCTCCTGTACTTCTGACTGACCAACCATACACTGGGAGTTTCCATAACTCTCATCTCAGGTTAAGTAATTTGCTAGAATAGCTTACAGAACTCAAACATTTACTCAATTTACCAGTCTATTAAAAATAGTATTTTGTTGAGAATGTTTGCATCTATGTTCATGAGGGATATTGGTCTGTAGTTTTCATTTTTTATGTCCTTTCCTGGTTTGGGTATTAGGGTAAAACTGGCTTCAAAGAATGATTTAGGAAGGATTCCCTCTTAATCTTTTGGAATAGCGTCAATAGGGTTGGTACCAATTCTTCTTTGAATGTCTGGTAGAATTTAGCTGTGAATCTGTCTTTTTTGGTTGGCAATTTTTAAATTACCATTTCAGTCTTGCTGCTTGTTATTGTTCTGTTCAGAGTTTCTATTTCATTCTGATTTAATCTAGGATGGTTGTATATTTCTAGGAATTTAACCATCTCCTCTAGGTGTTCATAGTAGCCTTGAATGATCTATTGTATTTCTTGGTATCAGTGATAATGTCTCCCATTTCCAATTGAGCTTATTTGCAACGTCTTTCTTTTCTTGGTTAATCTCACTAATGGTCTATCAATTTTGTTTATCTTTTCAAAGAACCAGGTTTTTCATTCATTTAGTTCTGTTCTGATCTTTGTTATTTCTTCTGCTGAGTTTGGGTTTGTTCTTGTTGCTCTAGTTCCTTGAAGTATATGACCTTAGATTGTCTGTTTGTGCATAAAGGTCATCCAAATTAGTAAAGAGGAAGTCAAACTAGCACTGTTTGCTGATGATATGATCATATACCTAGAAAACCCTAAACACCCCTCCCAAAAGCTCCTAGAACTGATAAATGAATTAGTAAAGTTTCTGGATACAAAATCAATGTGTATACAAACAGTATCAATGCTATATACCAACAATGACCAAACTGAGAATCAGATCAATAACTCAACTCCTTTTATAATAGCTGCAAAACAAAAATACTTAATACACCTAAGCAGGGAGGTAAAGGACCTCTATAAGGAAAACTACAAAACACTGTTGAAAGAAATTACAGATGACACAAACAAATGGAAGCATATCTCATGCTCATGGATGGGTAGAATCAACAATGTGAAAGTGACCATACTGCCAAAAGCAATCTACAAATTTAATGCAATTTCCATCAAAATACGACCATCATTCTTCACAGAACTAGAAAAAAAATGCTAAAATTCATGTGGAACCAAAAAAGAGCCCACATAACCAAAGAAAGACTAAGCAAAAACAAATCTGAAGGTATCACATTACCTGACTTCAAACTATACTATAAAGTTATAGTCACCAAAACAACATGGTACTCATATAAAAATAGGCACATAGATCAATGGAACAGAATAGAGAACCCAGAAATAAAGCCAAATACTTACAGCCAACTGATCTTCGACAAAGCAACACAAAAACAAAGTGGAGAAGGGATACCGTATTCAACAAATGGTGCTGAGATAATTGGCAAGCCACAGGTAGAAAAATGAAACTGGATCCTCATCTCTCACCTTATACAAAACTCAATTCAAGATGGATCAAAGACTTAAATCTAAGACCTGAAACCATAAAGATTCTAGAAGATAACATGGAAAAAACTCCTCTAGACATTATCTAGGCAAAGACTTCACGAACAAGAACCCAAAAACAAAGACAAATAGATGGTACTTAAACTAAACAGTTTCTGCATGACAAAAATAATAATAATAATCAGCAGAGTTAACAAACAACCCACAGAGTGGGAGAAAATCTTCACAAACTATACATCTAACAAAGGACTAACATCCAGAATCTACATGAAATTCAAATCAACAAGAAAAAAAAAGTCCCATCAAAAAGTAGGCTAAGGACTTGAATAGACAATTCTCAAAAGAAGATGTACAGATGGCCAATAAATATATGGAAAAACATTCAACATCACTGATAATCAGGGAAATGCAAATCAAAACCATAATGTGATACCACCTTATTCCTGCAAGAATGGACATAATCAAAAATGATAGATGTTGGCATGGATGTGGTAAAAGGGAACACTTTTACACTGTTGAGAATGTAAACTACTACAACCACTATGGAAAACAGTGTGGAGATTCCTTAAAGAACTATAAGTAGATCTACCACTTGATTCAGCAGTCCCACTCCTGGGTATCTACCCAGAGGAAAAGAAGTCATTATTTTATTATTATGTGTATACAAGTATCTTTTAAAAGATACTTGTATACACATGTTTATAGCAGCACAATTTGCAATTGCAAAAACATGGAACCACCCCAAATATCCATCAATCAATGAGTGGATACAGAAAATGTAAATATATATGAT